TGGAGTTAAATTTAATACCTTTTAAGATCTTTTTTAAGACTCTTTCCATACATTTTAAGACCTCATCGCCAGTCCAAGTTTTAACCGGTTACATCGGCAACACTTTAACCTACATTTATTATATATTGATTGTAAGATAGCACAACTAAACAGACTTACTTTGTGATAACTCCTTATCAATACAACATAATTCAGAAGTGAGGAACGAAGCACAAGAGAATTAATTGAGTGACTAACCAATGCAACCCAAGAAACAAGAATTAGACCAATAAACAAAACAACTGACAAAACTTATTGAGGAGGGAAAATACAGCTCTCCGAGCTAACGGGGCAATGAGTTCACACAGTATATTCAAAAGACGTATTTGTAACATCAACTCTTATAACTGTCTGCAAACCATAGCTCTTTCGTGGAACACTTCTCATGACAAACATCTGACTGATCAAACAGTTTACCTGTGTTTACAGAGTGCTTGATTTGATGCAGACTTGACAGAGTGCCAGTACTGCACCTGATCATGTCTGAATGGTCATGGAAGGTAAAATAATGATCACAACTATTACATCATTTTAATTGTGCATCTCAAGCCAGTAATAAAAAACCAGCCGAAGTAGCGCAATTACCATGTCCCAAATATAAAAATGTAATTTCCATCCCTAAAATACATATTTTACAGTCACTGTTATGCACATTTATCATAAACACAGCTCAAATGCTTCCTACTAGTGTGGCCCAAAATATTTAGCACAGTTTTATTACAGGTAGAATGCAAAATGTTTTAGTACAAGCATTTCAACCAAATGTAATTTATGCAATATTTTAAACCTTTAACCCACTGGGGAAAATCAACCCATGGCAACAGCTTAAAAGCAGCCGAATTTCGTGGAACAAAACAACAACAACCCTGCATCCAACACCAGCTGCAGAAGTCAGATTTGACTGATCATGGGTCAAAAGTAAGGAGAGATAACTGACAAGATGTTGGAGGATTTGCTCCTCAACAGATCCCGAGCTCACTGACAAATATCTTTTATCGTTAGATGTGCTCCCTTTACACAGTGCGTGCGCGATCGCAAAATCGAAAGTTAACTGCGACTGCGAGCGCTCATTCAAAGGGGATTTAAATACCCCA